CATTGCTACTAGCTAGTATAAACTAGTCAGGGATCAAATATATATATATATTTTTTTTTTTTTTAATTTAAGGCAGAGGCCAATTACATAAGTGGGTCACTTGAGAAAAGTTGACAAAAAACATTTAAGGAAAGCTGCTTATTCAATTTTGCCAATGTCAAAGCCAAAAGGCATCATTAGCTCAGCAAGCTTGGCTAATGGGGTCCAGGCAGAACAAGCAGTTGAGAGGAACCTCTTCTAGGACCATGTATAAACCCATCCCAAGGCTCAGGCCATTCTTTTACAAATTTTGAACAGGTGCAGGCTTCATTGCAGGTGGTTTATTTTTTTAATGCTGATGATGCTAGCCCATAATCTTCATTTTACTTATTCAAAAGAAGGGATGAAGTGAGGAGAGTATGTGCTTGCTTGGCCAAGCTATGTCAGAAGCGTGATGGTGCTCCAAGGCAAGCAGCACTGCTCCCTTCCCTCTGTTGTAGCTTCCTGCAAGCTTCTCTTCCCCAGGGCGCTTCCTCACTGCAAACCCAGGGTACCACAGTGCGCTCTCTGTGCCCTCTGACTAAAGGCCAGGTTTGACTGGGAAGGATTCAGGACAACTCCTGTTCACTCAAAGTAAACATCTCTGGCATATTATATATGCTTATACTATGCTAACACATTTCCCTCCTTCTCTCCCTGCATCTGAGAGAGGCACTGAAGCACTTACACCATGAGCCAAGTACTTGCAGATCAATCCCCAAATACTGAGAAGATACTCATTGCTCATTCCAAGTAATCCACAACAGCAGAAAACTATACTTCATTCCCTAACCATGCAAAGACATAAAAAGACTTTTTAATGCAAACATCAGAGTTGCAAATCTGCACACTCTTCTTGTGCTTAACTTTGCCCTTCACACAGATATTTATATTGTTGGGCATGATGTATTTTCCTTCACACATCTGATTAAAGATTTCCTTAGAGACTTATGATATGTTAGCTAAATGGTCGCATATTTTAGGATAATCTAACATTAATACTTCTGAGATCTCAAGTACATTTGACCTTCTCCAGTTCTGCTGAAAAGAAATCAGGTAACTGTAGGAAAACGAATCTATTAATTTCCCAGGAACAAAAAATTGATGATGGCAAAGAATAGAAAAGCCAGGACACTCTATTACATCATTTAATCACTTCCACAATACCATTCAGTACCATCTTTCCAAGTACTGCTGTTCACAGAATTAACTGTTTTGATTCTGATACTCATATTAAGGAATATTTTGTCAAGAAATGGATTTGATTATTTTTGAATTAAAGTACCACTAAATCTGAAAACAGGTATCTCAGAAACTCATCTACACTTTTACTTTTTTAAAAAAATGTGAATTGTGGAATGAGAAAAGTAGCATCTTTATACACTTAGACCTTGGGAAGTACTGACCAGAAAACATCTCCTGCTATATCTATCATGAATACATTTGGATGATATAAAAATTATGGCTTGAAGAATTCCTGCACAACCACATTTCCCTAAAGGTACACAGGGTTCAGGAAGCTGCTTCATCCTGTGTTATAATTCCTCATCCCAAAATGACTAACCCTAATCTGTTAGGGTGGTGAGGCACTGGAACAGGTTGCCCAGGGAGGTTGTGAATGCTCCATCCCTGGCAGTGTTTTCAAGACCAGGCTGGACGAGGCCTTGGGTGATATGATTTAGCATGAGGTGCCCCTGCCCATGGCAGGGGGGTTGGAACTAGATGATCTGAAGGTCCTTTCCAACCCTAACCATTCTATGATTCTATGAACAGAGACTTCACTGTTTAATACAGCTCCACAAAGCACATACTATTACCTTAGAAAAACAGACCGTGTTTTCAAATAATGGCAAGATGATAAAGGTACATGATGATGCACAAACTATTGAAGGTCTGACAACAGCCTGCCAGCATAAACAGCATGAGATTAGGCTACAGACACAGACATAGTAAGCACTACAAAGATGCTGGGCTCAGTGAACTCTTGTGTCAGGTTTGTTTGATGCCCCTTAGTCAGGGGATCACAAGATCCTAAAACACTTCAAAATCAAAAGCTGGCACATAAAATGCATCATTGCCTTCACTTCATAACACCCTCAGACCCCTCAAAAACCAGCAAATCAAGACAAAACTCAAAACTACCAAAGGGAAGGGAAAGGAAAGTAAAGGGGAAGAGGTAAGGGAAAGGAAAAAGAGGCAGCGGAAGGGGACAACAAAAAGAGGAAAAAGGGAAGGGAAACAGGAAGGGGAAGGGACAGAATCAGAGTTGGTGGGAGACCCAGTACCCCTGTTAAATTACAGTCTGGGAACAGAGATGTATGCAAATGATTTATGGCCTGATTTGCATACATGATTAAGATGTATTATATTACTAGTAGAAATCATAGTAAACTACCAGAACTTGCATCTGACAAGGCTGCACCAGGGTCATGAGCTTTTGAACACAAGCTGCTAAAATCCTACCAGCTCCAGTATCTCTGTAAAATGGTGTCCTAGCTGAGCCCCGGCCTAGTTTTCCCTCTTAGTGTTTCTGAGACCAACATCACTGAGTTCATTGTTTTCTCCCTGAATGATAGAAAAGCATTTTAGCTTTAGGATGGCTGGGTTTTAAGGATTGGGTTTTCTTTGTCCAGCATATTAAAATGCATGGGTAGCCTTGATGCATCTTGGTCAGTATACTAGCAATACAGTGATAGATTAGCCATTTGATTATGCCAGAATGAGCAGGGAACGTAATATCCTAAGGCACTCCAGTATTACTGCAAGGCCAGTGTGATTTCCCAGGCATTAGGCTGAAGGCTGAGAAAGTTCTTTCAACCACACTATACTGTAATCTTCCAGGAAATGCAACGTCTATTATACCTTACTGCTATAATGAAATAATTATACAAAACTAATGAAAATGAGAAATATTTAATAATTCTCTGGGTAAATCCATGACATAGATATGACAGAACTGTCAGGGTATCAGAAAGCTCAATTTGTGCCTATAATTTTCAGGTAATAATTGTAACAGTGCCATTTGTTCCTCTAAAGCTGGTCTGCTGTGAATGTTTTTAAAAGCAGCACTCAATACTGAACACATTTAATTATTAAAGGCAACTATTTGAGCATGGTCATTTTTATGCTATACATTTTCACTGGAATTACACACTATTTCTCAACATCTAATCTTGCAGTTTTTACCCTGGTAAATCTCATTGGATTTCAGTGGGAATTTTGTCAAAGCTAAATGCTGTGTAAGTGGGATCAGGTTTCAATACACCCCTTGACTGAACGGAAAGTGCCTATATTAAGCGATCTATTTGTCAAACTTTAAAAACAAAAAAATGGTGGTTTTTTTCTCTCACAACTGTTACTTAGTAATTTCAGTATTTAATATTTAATGCAGTGAATTCTTAGTTTCTGTGACATACAACTTGTTTTATACACAGTGTGTCTGTGTACCATTATGCATGTAACTGTGAAGTGAGCATTAATTTATATTAAATGCATTTCCATTTCCATTTTAAAAGTACTTGCTCAGAGCACTTGTAAAATTACCATTATTTTTAACTACGAAGTTAAGAAATATTTAGAGACATTACATAAAACAATTATCAGCCCTCCAATTTTCAAGGAGGTGATAGAAATGTGTTCAGGGACAAACTTTTTAGCAGGGTCTGTTGCGACAGGACAAGGAGTAACGTTTTTAAACTAAAAGAGGGTAGATTTAGACTAGATATAAGGAAGAAGCTATTTACAATGAGGGTGGTAAACCACTACAACACGTTGCCCAGAAAGGTGGCAGATGCACCATCCCTGGCAGTGCTCAAGGTCAGGTTGGACCTTGCTCTGAGCAACTTGATCTAGTTGAAGATGTCTCTGCTTATTTCAGGGGGGGTGGAACTAGATGACCTTTAAAGGTCCCTTCCAACTCAAAACTATTCTGTGACTCCATGAAGTAAGATACACCAGGATCGTACTTCTTTGTAACTGCAGAAAAGGCAGAGCAGCGAATCTGTCCATCTCCTGCTGGCCGGTGATCCTTGCTCAAGACTTCAGAAGTCCCCATGGAGCTAAATGAGACCCGCAAGCTCATTTAGTATTTTAACGACAAAACCTAAACTAGTGTAAATCATTGTGGTACTGCTGAGGTCTCAGCTTATGCTAACTCCTGATTCACATCATTAACTTTACACATCATAAGTAATTTGAATCACTAAACACAGTGGCTACCTCCAGACTTGTTTTCAGCTATAAATCCCTGATCAGATTAAAACTCACACAAAGTTTATCTTGCTGGACACAGGCCTGTGTCACACACATTCTTTTTATAAGGCCAGGCCCATGAAAAGAGAGGAAATTCAAGATCATGCTAGTCTAGGTTTTGTCCAAGAACCCTCCTAGCTATTATACAGACATGGCATGTATGGACTGTAGTTAGTCATGCTCAACTAGAACCCACCAGTAACCCTTGTGGGGAAGTTACATGGTCAAAGTTGGCACCAAACTGACTAAAGGTGTTTCCTGTTAGAATCCCTGGATCACTTAAGAGTAACGGCCAGCCATCTCACATAAAATGCCTCAGCTCAGAATGTCCACACCACCTTAATCCTGCTCCTGGTATAAGAGCATTCAAGTGTAAAGCCAATAGCACTGTGAGCAGGAAACATGTCACAGCTTAGCTGCTGTGAGCAGGAAACACATCACAGCTTGGCTGCACACAACTTTCAATGTCAATACAGGACGTAATACATGCACAGGAGAAGCCCTTTACAGGCGCAGAAGTACAATCTAATCTGGTTTACACAAACCAAGCTAAAAAGAGACAGAGGCCCCATGGAAGTCAGGAATAATGTCAAAAATATGCTGACAAGAAAATATTTTCAAAGAAAAAAAACCCCAAACCCATTCACATTCTTTTTAGTATGCTTGTAATGTACAAGACAACACACACAAGAACAATTATATTTAAAGGAATCAACAAATTTTGAACTTACATATGACGTAATAATCTTTGTTCTTCTGAAATTCCAGGCCCCAGAGATTAGGACTGAACTCTTGAAACTTGATGGTAAACTTAACATCTTGATCTGGCTTGGCACAGTTGAGTAGAGGTGTATTGTCCTTCTTAATAGCACAGCTATCTGCTTGGTCTTTATCAACCATGTAGACCTTATAATATTCATACTGGCCAACTGTTTTAGAGTCCACCTTTGGGCATATAATATCCAGTTTGTCTCCTATCTGTGGATATAGTACCAATCCTTGTCCAGGAAGGAATCTGAAACAGGAAAAAAAAAGGAGGGGAAGGATATGGGAGGGAGGCGGGAAAGATATGGGAGGGAGGGGAGGAGGTGGAAACACAGGGACAAAAAAAAAAAGAAAAAAGGGAGGGAGGGAGGGAGGGAGGGAGGGAGGGAGGGAGGGAGGGAGGGAGGAAGAGAAAAAGGGAAAATGTGAGGCACTTGATAAGATCGCATCCAGAATAGTAGCAATTGCAGTGGACAGAAAAGAACAAATACACAGTTTCCAAAACCAAAATGACTGAGGCAAACCAGATCTTAATAATCTGGGCCTGACTCAATGTCAACAAGATGTTTATACAGATCTTGGAAATTACAGATGGATTAAGTCTTCTAATCCTTATCCCAGTTTTGGGAACTCTTATTAGGTTTTATGTCTCTGGCAGGCATTGCTGTTTCTTCCACATTTGGCCATTTACAGCCAACATCTGGTGTTGTACTAGCTACAATCCTGTTTTTCAGCTTTCGTAACATTTCTACTATTCTTGCACATAACTTTGCTATTTTGGACATGGGAGGATGACAAGAATAATTTTTTCAAACCCCCTAAGCAGCCACGTGGGAAGGGAAACAACTTAGACATTAAAATTTAACAACATATTAAGATACTGATTGATATTGCCAGTGGAAAACAAAGGAACGTCAGTCACTCACCAGGATCATGCTTACAGACCTTGGGTAGACAGAGATCTACCTGACCCAAGGATCCCACATGCTTCCGATAAAACACTTTCGCAAGACAGCATGACTGCTATACTTCAATTTCTTCTCTCCAGCTCTACCATCACCATCGTTATTTCTTGTGATGTAAGTGGAACATGCGTGTGCTTTTGCCTTACTGCTGATGAAGACTTCTTATACAAACTGGCAGTGAGCTTTAATGTTTGGCGTTAAGACTCAATATTGTATCTATCCTACTTGTATTAATTAGTAGGCAAACCTCACCACTTCTTCACAAAAGAAAAATATAAATAATTACTTATAATATTGATTTATCCACAAAACGAGAAACCTTGTTCTCACAAGGACAAAAGCCACAGCAGGTCTGTTTGTTTCTCTGTAAGATATATTTGTTCCAATTAAGCCCAAGAAGTGCATGTTTTAGAACTACAGCCAACGTCCTCGAATGCACAGACCTAAAAGACTGACTTTCTTTCCTCTTTCTTCCGCCTGCCAGCCTTTTCAAAGATCTTCCTTAATGGAGAATCGGCCTGAAAAAAACAACTGAAACAACGGCTGCCTAATGAACATCCTTCTCCAACTGCTAGCATTTAAACAGCACAAGTAGTAAATCTAGCTTATTCACAGGCAGCCTTCCTGGAAACTTTAAATTAAGAGTATTAAGGCCCAACCAGAACAAAGCTCTAAGCGCTGATGACCTTCAGTCTCTGGCTTGACTAAAGGAGCCCACCAGCATGTAGTAGTGCTAGGGCAGAACTTACCAAGTTAGAGAAAATGACGATGCAACACCCCAAATTTCGAGTTCATCATTTAAAACTGCTTGCTCCCACACAATGCAAGTTTATGATCTGTGCTAATTGAGCAGGATTATTTTCACTCACAAAGCCTGTGCAAGAATTATATTTGTTGTGAAGCAGCACATAGCAGGACAAAGACATGTAATTACAGATTTAGGGAAAAAGAACAATGAAATGTTATGGCAAGAAAAGGGGCTGTTGATGTATAAATCACTGCACTCTTTTGTGCCATGCAACGTGATTTCCAGACTACAGAAGCTAGGCTTGGCCATTGCTGTTCAAACTGAGAAGCACTGGAGGCAAGGAGAAGCCCCACCTCCTCCTCCAGTTTTTGGACATGCCAAAAGAATGCAGCGACTACCACCTACCAGAATCTGAAATGGTGAAACAAAGGGAAAGGTGGAAAGGCAGGAAGGCATCCTCCTCCAAATCACCAGCCTGGTAAGGGATGACAGACGGAGAGGCTAGCTCTGCAATGATGCCAAGGAAGTGGTGGGAGGAAGACCCCAGCCAGCAAATGTTCCCAAGGGAGCAGCCCAGATCCTGATTCGGGCTCTCCTCGGGGACTGGCTGACCAGGAAAAAGAAAAGGGACAGTTTCTGAGCTAACCTCTATCACCTGTGACTGACTTTACCACCTTATCTTGACCACAGACACATTCTACTTTGCTCCTGCACAGCAGTGTTGTATGAGAAAAATGAAAATTACTTGTATTCCCTCATGTACACGACAGGATAAAGGCTGGTTGCTGTATGATCCCACTGCTCTAAATATTTCTTCTTGCCAGTAATTCTTCTTCACATAATGGGAATATGTAATATGAAACACACAAGATTTCAGAGACCAAATCAATTTAGATTCCCATGCATAACAAATACAAAATCCAAATGACCTAAAAGCTGCCCTGAAAAACAAAAAACACTGATTCTAATTTTAGGTTTTGTGTATATATGTACACGTGTAATGAAGCACCAGTGGCACACATTCCCCAGCGGCATACATTCTGCATGCAAACTCTGAGCACAAACAGGATGCGTTCACAGAGACAGCGTGCCAGGCAACCCTCAGAAACAGCTACCAGAGAAGAAATACACTTGTGTGCCTTGGTTAAGTAGCCAGGAATTGCCCCATAAAAGGTAGAGGACAGAATCACCCCCAACAGACAGCTAAAACTACATTTTATAAGAGCTTTAAACTGATATACTCATTAGACTTTATGGAAGGGGAATAGTCTTGCTATGGCTACAAGTCTGTGCAGTTTTAGAACTAAATTTGGTATATCTCCTTCCACTTGAGTTTCTGAACTTGCAGGATCTAATGTTGATGGGATTAGGAAAGAAAAAAGGCTGAAAATGAAAGGATTAATCTTAGAACTTGATTGTATTCAAATTCTTTCCACAGTTTGCACTTTTGATTGTGATCTCTACAAGAAAGATAGTTTTCCAATTTACTTGCCTTATTTCCTTACGACAATAAAGCACAAATAGGGATGGAGAGAACATAAAATTTTCACCTCATACCTTCCAGTTCAACCACAAAATTTACAGTGGCCGATTAATAGTAGGCATGATTATTACTCCTGCATCTGTGTAGTACTTTTGCTACTATATTTTCATGGAGACTTTAAATAAACCATTTGCTGGGTACTAAGCATTTTCTGAAGTTATTTATTAAATGCCAGGGGGATTAAGACTACAGTTTCATGATCTTAATTTTGAAAATCTTGTATCTGGAAAAAACAAACAAACAAACAAACAAACAACAAACAACCAGTCTTGGCAGAGGTTAACAAAGATTTCAGGATTAATCCTGAATCTTTATTTCTACAAGTACTGAAATATATGTACGTAAGTATTCTGGGGTAGCATCAACACTTACAACATGTTTGCAGGATGGCATCTATAAAAATAAAGTTAATGAACTGCCTTTAAAAGCCTGATAAAAAATCGGAATGCCCCTTCAACTAATTAAAAACTTTTTTTTTTTTTTTTTACACAAACAGAAATATAATACAGATGGAGGAAGAGTTTTCAGAATCCTGAGACTGGTCTTGAGAAGGCGGTGCTGCCTGGGACAGTAACACACTCTTTAAGTAGTCAGGGTAGCAACAGCACTGGAAACATTACTTTCTATAAAAAGCAAACTTTCTGCTTTTCTGCTTTAAATGTTCTTTACTGGGAAACCTACATACCAATATAGGCCCCTGTGCCATAACAGAAACTTAGGAGAAAAGCTTAGAGAGTTCCCAACTCATTTCTCTCAGCAGTCATATATAGCAAAATTAGAGCATTCAAAGAATCTTGCTCATAATTAATAATCCTAGTGCTTAGTGTGAGAAAGGACAGAAATGTACATACAGTAAAAGCTGTACGATGAAATTAATGCACTTTATGTCTGGCACTTTTGGATACAGATGGCATTTTTACTGTCAGCCCAAAATTGGTGTATTGTGGGCGACATTTGACATCTGTGCAAAGCCCATGGAAGTGAATCCCTCCCACGCTGCTTATCATGTCATGCTGCTCATCAAATAACAGCAATATGCAGGGCTCCAAAACCTTCTTAAAAGTATTATATTAGACAAAAAGTCACATGACACATGAACAGAAAATAGGAACTGAGTAGTCCATCCTGCACTACCACCAATGTTACAATAATTCTCTGTACCACGCCTAATTTAAGGCCCAGCAGTTCCTGGCGCTAATGTAGCCTTACTGGTCAAAGTCCTAGAGAAGTTAAATTTCACTCTGAAATTTTACAAAAACCAGAAGTTATATTATGCACAGTTCCCAACTAAATTCCTAAGATTCTAGTTTTTGTTTAGAGGAAATTAGTACATTCGATCTTATTAAACGATAAAGGAGTTTTCCTTAATAATAACCACTCAAAAATGCCTAATTTCATAATAGTAATTTCTAAAAAAAACCCGAAACTTTTATCTGTCAGCACTCTTTTATTCTGAAAATACTCTACCATTCCTTATTACACAGACATTTCTGAAACTGTAAAATTATCAACAGATAGAATTCTTAGAGAAACAAATTCTTAGAGATTTTGTTAATCAGTATTGACTGATGTAACAAATATGTTGTCATGCTTCTTCCAACTTGCAAAACTAGATATATACACACACATACTATAAATATATATATATATGCAGACTTAGCTTTAACTATATCCTGGTAATTATAAAATGAATGCAATTTTAGAAAGCATGTTAGTACTTGTTGTAAGTCTGGGAAAACAGTGCCAAATTTCTGTGTTTTAATATTGTACCTGAACTAATTGGTGTAGGCAGTTAGCTTTAAATTAATGTAACAAAAATAACCCTAAAAATGCGAAAAATCAAGATGCTTCTTACAATGCAGCCTGAAACCTTCTGTTGGGGAATCCTACCCACTTAACTTTATGAAGTTTAACTACTAGCCTGACTATAAAATTATTCATTGAAAAGTTTTATTAAGGAAATGTCATGAATACTGATAACACAGTATGTTAGT